GGAAACTTAAATTTTTTCTTTTTCTGAGGTAAATAGAAGAAAGGCTACACACACCATGGGAAGCTATCATTCAGATTTGGCTGCAGATCGATCTCCTCATTTGATTTCTAAAGGAAACTACTGAGGATGTTCCCGTTGAACGCTTACATGTTGATTGCTAAGTCATTTGTATTCATCTTGAAAATGATATCTACTCTGCGGTGGGAAGTGACATGCCATCAAAAGGAAAAATAAAAGGACAAAGAGCTAAGTAATAACTATGTGGCAGCAAGAACACAGGGAAATTAATGAAAATGAACCAAGTTCCTGAGTGATGAGATATTGATAGTTACCAGCCCTTCAGGATGCTGCATGTTAGTGACTTGCCTCCTCCTCGGCGACATTCGTGGATATGGTAGGTGTTGGCAATGCTTTGAATAGCAAACTTTATCTCACAGTTCAGGCATAGCGCTGGGAAATGGTTTCATATTTAAACCACTGAATAACAACTTAAAACGAAGTAAAGTATCTAGGGTAAAATGTTATGCTTCATAAAATTATCTGATTTTTTCTTTTCAGAGGGGGAAATACTTTAAGTACATTCATATGTTAAAAGTTCTTTACCTTTTTTCAGTTGATAAAAGTAGATACAGCATTGAGAGGACCTTGTCCTGTAAGAATAAATTATGTTTCCTCAGGCCAGGATAAAATTTGTAAATGTTATTCAGTTTCCTTGCCTTGAATTTTAAAGTGACTGCTTTTGGAAATCTTTCCTCTTTTAAACTCTTACAAAAAGGAATATGAGGCGATGAGCAGTTACTACAAACTAGGAAGATTTTTTTAACCACTCCCAAATATGTATTTTTATGCAGCTAATTAGTGAGTATATTTTCCATCTTTCTTTTTAGAGCTATGGCACAGATTTAAAATACTTTGCATTGTTTAAAAGATTTTGGTTGTATGTGAACTGTGTTTCCATTTCAAGAACTAACACACTGAGAAACAGAATTATGGGTAGGTGGGAGACAAAAAGTATCACAAGGTAGAATCAGGGAAGAATTTGTGTATTTATAGACAGATTAACCCTTTTAGACTGATTAACCATACACACATACTCACATACATAAAAGAAAACACAGGAATTTGAACATGCATCATTGTTTTTGCTTGGGGATTACTTTACTTTTGAACTGCTTTGAATGTCAAGGCTTCTAAAAGGCAATAATTATATAGCTGACACTTCCCCCCTCCTGCCCCCAGTGCCTAGCACAGGGTTTTAATTGTTCATTCAATGAAAAATTTTAATTTTGAGCATTAATAATTCTCATAAATCAGACTAAAATTGTTCCTGATCACTTTTTTTTTTTCAAGAATCAATACAAAACATTGGGAACATGTGAGAAGTTTCAAATTTTTACTATTTTAATCGAACGTGGGATTCAAAAGAGAATTTTGAGTAACTGCTCAAAAAAGAACCCTTTTCGTCCTATTTTAATCTAGCTTCAATTAAAGGCAGTTGTGTGCTTCATGGGGTGGAGCATTCATGTTGAGGGGGGAAGTAAGAAGGATGTGGTGGCTTAAAACTAGAAAACACTTAGTAAGACAGTGAAGGAGGTTTTCATATCTAGACTATACAGCTAATGTCATTGCAAATGTCTAAAAAGAGGATACATTTAAAAGCTAAAAAGTAAATTAAATTTATCTGACCACAAAACACTTTTTAGGGATGAAAAGCCTATTACTGTCTCAGTGGCCCTCTGGAACACAGTTTGAGTGATAGGATGTTGTTGCAATAAAAAAGCAGTGCTTGGAGAGCCAGATCAATACAATTGAAATCTCCAGCTTCATTGTTTGCCAACTGTAATGACCTTGCAGGTCTGAGCTCCAATTTTCTTGTTTGAAAATGAGTTTATAATGCTTCCCTTGAAATGTGAATATCGTGGCGTGATATGAAGTACCTAACAGTTGCTGGCACATACAAAGCAGTCGATAAACTAAATTCATATTGGGTCTAAAATATGAAAGATAATATTGGTACTATTTGTCTGATTATAGTGTTTACATGAAATGCCAAAGTCCTCAACATAGTGCCTTGGCCAAAATTAACTCAATAGATATTAGTCTCTTACTCCTGTCTTTTCATTTTCATGTTAAAGTTAGTTAGCACTTTGTTGACAATTCAGATTCCTATGAGATGCTATTCAAATCAACTTTTTGAAAATTCTGCCTGTCTATTCAGATGGTTGATTCATTCATCTTTTCAACAAACATTTACTGAGCACTTACTGTGTACCAGATACCATGCTAGGCTTTTAGAATCCAAAGTTGTATGACCATCAGATAGGATGAACCCATGCATAAGTTAAGAATTATACATCGATGTATTAAAATAATAATAAACATGTACAAAGATACTTAGGGAACATGAATACACCTATTTTCAGGGCATAAAGGAAAGACTCCAAGTTTGAATGTTGATGCTGAAGTAGGTCATACCTAAACAGAAAATGAGAATAAAGACCTCTCAGGCATTATGTAGCATAGTGTGGTTTATTTGGGGGAAAAATTATTTTTGTTTCAAATCACAAGGAAGAAGATGATTGCTTGAGACAACGCTGAGAAGGTAAACAGGGCTAGACAAGCCCTCATAATAAGCTTTGGCTTTATTCTGAAAGCTGTGAGAGACTAATAAGGAAGGGTATTAAAGTGGAGAAGGACTAGGGCCAATATGTGGAACCTGCCTAGAGGCAGAAACCAGTTAGGGTGTTCTCTATGGAAGCAGAGGGAACTGCCTCAGAGGTGCAGTTCTATTCTATTTTAGGAAGAAAAAATCAGGCAAGTGCTGCTAAAACTGCAGGAGTCTGTTTGCATTTATCTAGAATCTCAGTCAACTGAGATTGGTAAGACTTGGCTCAGTCAACTCTTAAGTGGCAGTTTGCCATAAACCAAGCAGCATATCATAATTAGACTGTTGAACTGTAAATGGTAAAATATTTTCAAGGTTCAACATGTAAAGGCTTGAAAATCTACCTAGAGTAACCTTATAAGCCCTTCGCTTGATAAAGATTTATCTCTTTCTATATAATTCCTTAAGAGTTAAGTGTAGGAGTCAGCAGGTGGTGAAGTGATTAAAGCACTGGGCTCCCACGTGGCCAACTGCATTTCAAGTCCTGGAGCCTATGGCTTGAAACTCATACCGGGTATGTGTGTGTGTGCATGCCCAAAGTGCTGAGTGGAGAAGAGGAGAATGGAGAAGGGATTGTCGCGTGGCCATCGTGGGGGTCGGGGGAGGAGGGCGATTCTTCACTTCCTATCTCTCTGTCTCTGTCTCTTTGGCGTGCATATGTGTCCTATAGCAAAAATCTGTCTTTCAAAAAAAAAAAAGTTAAGCGTAAATGTATCTTTTTTCCAGTAGAGATTATTTGACTTATATATTTTTTAAAGTTACTTTACTTAGATGGTTTTTCTATTGAACTCTAGCTAATAGTGAACTCAAGTAAGAAAATAAAATTGAGCTCTACATTTTTAATTACACTTACATCAATTAGTTATATGTAAATAATCACTTAAATGCACTAAGGGAGCTAAACTTTGAAAGAATCCTAGGGGAAATCCTTTAGCAATGAGAAGAATTATTTTTATGGTAAAATTACTTTCCAATTTATTTCTTTTATGTTTCCATTTTGTATTACATGATCTCTAAAACAAGGCACGCCTGCATCTAGTATATTTAGTAGGTGGGATAAAGGGCTTTTAACCTTTATCAGTGTTGGCTGCCATGATGATATTAGAAGCTAAATGATAGATGTTTAAACATTTCTAGAAACCAGTGAATACTTGTTTACTCTAGGGACTATTGGAAAATCCAGAGAGCCCAACAGAGGTTTTTTGTTTTTGTCATTGCTAAACACTGAGCAGAAACTAATGTCCCAACTATGTCAGAGCTACTTTCAAGCGCTAGGTCACAATATTATGAATCGTTCTGTTAGAAAGGACACTTTTTTTTTTAATCTCACAGAAGAACTTTTGCTTTAATTACCCTAAGATAGCATGATGAAAAAATATGTACTTCAGACCAGGTCATTATGATGAGGATAGACACTGGTAAAATTTCATTCTCGTTCTAATTCAAATACTTGTTACTGGTAGTCACACATAGTAAAAGGTAATGTACTTGTTCAATGTTCCATCAACAACTTATTTATAAACCCTAGAACTTTAAAAACGTGTTCATGTTTTTTTCTACTTTGATAAGTAAAAACATATACAATATTTGAAGAACCGCATTACTTCTTTCTTATGCTGTTTAAAGTACAACCTCTCAAGAAGAGCACTCACCTGTAAGTCAGCAGTCTATCAGTCATTGCATATTTGCTGTGCTCAGCATAAAGTAGGTGATGGGGAGGTTGCAAACAAATGTGAATACACTTTGGGGCAGAAAAAAATGAACTTTTCATGAAATTATTGCCTTGAAAAGTTATGCAAATATTTTTTCCCCAGGAGAGAAAGGAGCAAGAAGAAACACCTTCTTATTCAGTATAAAAGCTACTTAAAAGCTGGTTAAAGGCAGCTAGTTATCAGTTTATCAGTTTAGTAAAGAGATGTAAAATTATCTTGGGTGTTGATTACAGCAAGGGATGTTAGCTTGTTCTTTAGACCATCCTCGCTGTTAGAAATACACCCTCCTTTTCCACTGAATAGGTGACTCAACAGAGGCCAGGTTTTCCAAGCTGAAGACAGACTGAAGACAAGTTCCAAGTATAGGAGTTCGACTGGCCAAAACTAGGCAGCTAATCAGATAGATAATATCTTGAGAAAACCCTGCCTTCCAAACCACAGCTCTAGCACTACATGAGCTGGATGTAGGCACCGTCTAAAGGCTGCAGGTATACCCGCTCTTGGAGCATTCCCTGACTTTAATTGCATCTCCTCAAAGTAAGCTGTTTTGGGCCAGTCACAGTAGGTTAGTCAGGTGGAGAAGGCTTCTCTCTTCCAGTTAACACTACAGTTTAGTTTTCTTGTAATAATTAGAAGGTCAAAAAAAATATAGGCATCTTTACTATACACCTCAACTTACTCAAATGATTACAGCACAGATGAAATTAAGCATTTTGAAAGATAATCAAGCCATAAAATTAGTATTTCTATCAAGGCTATTTGTGATAACTAGTCAAAAGTTTTAATTATCACACTTGCTGTATCAGCTTTTAGTAAGGCGATGCTAATGTATATTACATGAAATAATTCTATTTCAAACAAAATATTCCTCAAATTTATGAATTATTCAGACTCAGGTGTGGATGGTGTACAAAGAAACATTCTAATTATAGCTATCCTCACAATTACTCTTTCTTTTCTTTGTGATAGAATAAAATGGTATTCACCCATTAACTGAATACTTATTGAAAATGCTAC